TAAAAATGATATCTTACTAATTAACTTTATGTTATGCCAACTTGTGAAACCAATCGATTGCAGTGGTTACAGCCATAGTTGTAGGTCTGTATCAAAAAGGTAGCGTTCATTTTACTTCCCTATGGAAATCAAATCAAAATCAAATTAAATGAACTTCATTGTCCAAAATGTGGCTACTGTGTCAGGTGGTCGTGACATCACCTGCAGTAGCATGTTATACGTAGTTCATGATTGGAGAAATTTGCTGTAAATTTTGTTGGCATTTTTTAATCTCTTCATTCGACAGTTGTGTGTTTCATAGTCGTGTTGTCTATTGTATGCCTTATAACAGGTAACATATATGAGCGAGAAAATTATACAGTAGGCAATAAAGTTTTACTCCTAGATAAGTGAATACCGTCATCGAAAATTGTCGTGCATCGCCAGGACTACATCCAAATATCCAAAGCTTATTATGCGCTCATCTCTTTCACAACTCTCCTCTCCCCCCCTCCTCTCCCCCCCCCCCGGCCAGGACTACATCCAAAATCCAAAGCTTACATGCGCTCATCTCTTTAACAACTCACCCCTCCTCCCACACTAAAAATAAAAGAGGTACACGAATCTCTGTTAGGACATCATCTCCACACCGTCAGGATCACCATGGATGATCCCCGAATTGGTAATTTCTAGAAATACATCTCTAACGATAGTATCTGATTGACAGCCGAACTTTATCGTATCAACTACGATGTGTTGTCAAACTAAATAAAATCTACTTATTGAGCATATAGTTTCGTGTCAACAGCACACCTCTTCACAACAATCCACATTGGCCAAGTTACAAATTCGGTATATTTGTCTGATTACTCTTAACATTGTATTAATTCATCAAACCACACTTGATAAAATTAACATCAATGGAACGGGAAAAAAGAGAACACCAACAACAAATGAAAATACTAAACTGTTTTTTTTTTCTTCTATTCGTTGGGTGTGATGGATTCAAGGAGGACGAGCCGGGCCGTGCTCCCACCCCCCAACCACCTAATTTTTTTTCAAAATTATTTTTAAAAAATGGAGAAAAGGAAAGGAAAATATTTTTCCAATCTTGATCTGAGAGTGCCGTTTCCGGCCATCTCGAGGCACTTAATCATACATTGTCTTACCTCAGCCCCAGGTATGACTTGGGCTGAGTTGGTCTAGACTCTCCATCTGTGAAAGTCCTTCCTTCTTAGGCCCACTCTATTTCGAATTCCTAGATCCGCCACTGGACTTATGTCATATTTTTTAAATTTGTCATTTTTTGAGGAAGATTCTTGGCAAACATGTCTAACAATCTAAAATATCCACAGATTAAGGAAAAATGGATGCCAGCTTTTTTTAATTCACATTACGGCCTCCATTTTTTAATTCAAAATGGCCGCTACCGAAAATCAGTTTTTCACTAAACAATTGAAACTAGATCATCTCTATTCATTTTTGTATTTGGTCTGGCTCAAAATTTTAACATATCTGTCTTCGATGATGGAGATTGTTTGTACCGTATGCAGACTACTCGGTTATGCTTCTATAGAAAAAACACACTCAATACTTTCCCTAATGTCACCTTCTCCTCAGCAAACCTAAAACTCTCTGATCTTTCTTCCTCTGTAAAATTGCTTAGTCATTCGGCAATTTCCTATCAAAGTAATATATGGTAATTGAGGAGAAGCTAATGACATTGTCTGGTGTATATACTCTAATTAAAAACCACATTGTAATATTCCATTGAACATCCAGTTACGTATCCAATTGTTATACTGTTATGTAAACTTCAATCCCTCTCTATAATATGCCTTTTATTCATCCGTGTTTCTGATTGAAGCAAATCCGTAAAAGTACTAACCGAAAAATAACTAGACCAGAAATATCAGCAGTAGTGACACATTAATGATGGTTCCAGAGGGTGGCCAATGTTGAACTCGTCCCCAGAGCTGGAACATTCTAACAAAGCGTGAAGTCGTTTTTTTATGGAAATGCCCAAAACTCCAGAGCTTCCAGCCCGGGATCATGCAGAAGGATAAGGAGCACTCCGCTCAATCCATCTCCTCAGACAACGGTAGCGTTTCGCGCCATCGGACAAAAATATTTTGGATCTACACATGTAGACCCACATTATAAATTCTATGAATTCACTATACCAACCGATTTGCACAATTTTACTTCAAAAATCCCTAAAAATCCAAAATTTGCTTTCTCTCTGCTTTAAATTACTAAAACAGATCTAAAACCTTTAAAGGTTACAAGACGTGTCAAAGTGCGATCGATACGTGTATGGCTTAATATAGCTGTACTGTATGACCTTTGAAGAGAGATTTTTTCTTCCTCAAGTATGTTCTTTACTTTTTTCTTTTACAATTGTATTGTCTACGAAAACCAAAATCCTTCAAGTGTTTCTTTACCGTGTTTTTGTATCCGTATTAAAATGGACCTTTCCGGTAAGCCCCGCCCCTTGGATATTGTTGCTAAGATCCTATTGTTTACTGTTGCCTTCGCGCTCTGATAAGCACTAACCACCGTCCACACCCGTCTTCCCGTTCTGCGTAAAGTGCCTATTATATTTAGGATGACAGTCTAATTTGAACCACGTCAGTGATCAGAAGCCCTGCATTCAATATTAGCAAATATTAGGCAAACACTTCAGACATAATTCATTTAGCCTAGAGCAACAGGTAAGCATTTTTATGTTCTTTTTTCAAATCTTCATTTCAGCAATCAAATACATTTAAAAAAAAGAACATTACAAATGCATTAAAAAAAAGAACATTACAAATGCATGAAAAAAAAAAAAAACAAAACAAAAAAAAAAACAGGACAGAGCATCATAACAATTCAAAGATTCTGTATACACTAAACCCTGAGAATTGTCATCCATTTTGAGTGAAGCACTGATTCTCTAAGGCAGTACTGATAAACGATTTTTAACTAAATTACTTGTCTAATAATAGTTAGATTTGTATAGCGCATCATGCGAAAAAAGCCTCTATGCGCTTGGTGATTGAGCTCTTTGAGTTTGACATTTTGAAAAAAGTTTTATATGAAACTAAAAAACCTACTCCTTAAACTAAATCATGTTTGGCCGTTGGCTTCGAGGAGTTCATCCGCCCTTACTTTTTTCCAATCTACACATTCTGTAATTTTCATAGAAAGATGGTACATTATTGAAGACAAATATTTGACTGGCACTACAGTGCCTAGGCAGACCAAGGAGTTTTCTTAATGCATTGTTATAACATACTTGAAGCTCTCAAGCTCTCTTATATTAACCTATGTATAGTTGGCCCAAGGCTACAGTACAAAGTGGCACAATATGAGAGGAATAGACGTACTGCTTTTTACTTCATTTGAACATTTGCTGTATTTACGACTTAACATATTTTATATATGAAACTAAAAGCTTCTTAAATCTCGATGGTATGTAAGATGTTATGCTACCTTCGAGGGTGCTATATTCTTTGTAATTTGTGATTTTTTTTTAAAAATACTACATAGTATTATTTCAAATATTCTGTGGTTTAAGATGCGTCCACCAGCATTGCCATATTAAATTACCTTTGGTTGGCCCTGATCTCCTGAATGACTTTTCGTATTTATTGCACTTGTGTAAATAACTTGGAATAATGAAGAATGAAACTATTCCCTACTGATTACGTTATGTATTGTACAACTATAATATATCAATTTTATATTTATAAATTTTGTTTGAATAATTTTTAAATATGTTTATATAATTTCAACCTTTGATTGCATTCCTTGGCATTTACATTACCGTGATGAAACCCTCGTAATTTACGGACACGTTATGGAGCACAACTTGTTCTATTGTATGTTGTGTTATGTTTCCATAATAAAATGTCAATTTTCAAATTATTTGTTCATTGTAGATTGGACACATTCAAATTGGACAATCATACGAAAGGAGGTAACTTACGACACATAAAATATGAAGCTCTTACTAACTATTGTAATCTTGCAGTCAACATTTCTGTCCGCATCAGCGTTTGACCTAACTATACTTCATACAAATGATGTGCATGCGCGTTTCGAACAAATGGACAAATATGGAGGGGATTGCAGCGCAGAGGAAGATGCTGGTAACGAGTGTTTCGGTGGAGTAGCACGACGGGTAACTAAAGTGAACGAGATCCGGAGCCAGAGAGATAATGTTCTGCTGTTGGATGCTGGGGACCAGTTTCAGGGAACTATGTGGTTTTACTATTACAAAGGGACAGCTACTTCACATTTTATGAATCTCGTTGGATACGACGTAATGGTGGGTATACTTATTAAAAAAGTGCTAATGCAATCCACTTTCATCATCCTATTAAAATGCAAGGGGTAATTTTTTTTTAATGAATGGGTGGGGCATTTACAGATTTTGCCGATAACCTGCAGAGCCGCTACTTCCCTCGGTCCTCTCCTATCCATCCGGACAGACAACTTTATTTAAAGTTAGTGGGGGATCATCACGTGTTTAGTCAATCCATCCCCTACAGCTATAGCATCTGTCACAACGAGGCCATCTATGCTTTTTACACGAATCAACGATCATATTCAGCTCTTACCCCTCTCCCACTAGAGGGCACTCTCAGCATACGAGTTACAAGAGAATGCCGACTTGCTAACTCGGCAAAAACTCGTAGGACGATTCGGAAAGCTCGGAGAGGACTCTTACCTACTCGTAGCAGCTCTGAACTCGTGGCGCTAATTTTGAACATGTTCAAAATTATCGCCACGAGTAGATAACTCGTAGTAAACTCGAAGAACTCGTAGGTAGCTCGTAGAGTACTCGGGGTACTCC